GAGGACAACAGGTTGTAGAATATATATTACATACAGGAGACAGGACAATGGGTTGAAGAGTATATTACATACAGGAGAGAGGACAACTGGTTGTAGAATATATTACATACAGGAGAGAGGACAACAGGTTGTAGAATATATATTACATACAGGAAACAGGACAACAGGTTGTAGAGTATATGTCACATACAGGAGAGAGGACAACAGGTTGTAGAATATATGTCACATACTGGAGACAGGAAAACAGGTTGTAGAGTATATTACATACAGGAGAGAGGACAACAGGTTGTAGAATATATATTACATACAGGAGACAGGACAACAGGTTGTACAGGAGAGAGGACAACAGTTTTTAGAATATATCACATACAGGAGAGAGGACAACTGGTTGTTTTATATATTACATACAGGAGAGAGGACAACAGGTTGTAGAATATATATTACATACAGGAGAGAGGACAACAGGTTGTAGAATATATATTACATACAGGAGAGAGGACAACAGGTTGTAGAATATATATTACATACAGGAGAGAGGACAACAGGTTGTAGAATATATATTACATACAAGAGGCAGGACAACAGGTTGTAGAATATATCACATACAGGAGACAGGACAACAGGTTGTAGAATATATATCACATACAGGAGAGAGGACAACAGGTTGTAGAATATATCACATACAGGAGAGAGGACAACAGGTTGTAGAATATATCACATACAGGAGAGAGGACAACAGGTTGTAGAATATATCACATACAGGAGAGAGGACAACAGGGAGAGAGTACATACAGAAGAGAGGACAACAGGTTGTAGAATATATATTACATACAGGAGAGAGGACAACAAGTTGTAGAATATATATTACATACAGGAGAGAGGACAACAGGTTGTAGAATATATATTACATACAGGAGAGAGGACAACAGGTTGTAGAATATATATATACATACAGGAGGCAGGACAACAGGTTGTAGAATATATATCACATACAGGAGAGAGGACAACAGGTTGTAGACTATATATTACATACAGGAGACAGGACAAAAAGTTGTAGAGTATATATACAGTACACAGGAGGACAACAGGTTGTAGAATATATATAACATACAGGAGACATGACAACTTGTTGTAGAGTATATTTCACATACAGGAGAGAGGACAACAGGTTGTAGAATATATATTACATACAGGAGAGAGGACAACAGGTTGTAGGTGTTACATACTGGAGACAGGACAACAGGTTGTAGAATATATATTACATACAGGAGACAGGACAACAGGTTGTAGAATATATATTACATACAGGAGAGAGGACAACAGGTTGTAGAATATATATTACATACAGGAGACAGGACAACAGGTTGTAGAATATATCACATACTTGGGACAGGACAACAGGTTGTAGAATATATATCACATACAGGAGAGAGGAGGACAACAGGTTGTAGAATATATATTACATACATGAGAGAGGACAACAGGTTGTAGAATATATCACATACAGGAGAGAGGACAACAGGTTGTAGAATATATCACATACAGAAGACAGGACAACAGGTTGTAGAGTATATATTACATACAGGAGAGAGGACAACAGGTTGTAGAATATATCACATACAGGAGAGAGGACAACAGGTTGTAGAATATATATTACATACAGGAGAGAGGACAACAGGTTGTAGAATATATATTACATACAGGAGAGAGGACAACAGGTTGTAGAATATATATTACATACTGGAGACAGGACAACAGGTTGTAGAATATATATTACATACAGGAGAGAGGACAACAGGTTGTAGAATATATCACATACAGGAGAGAGGACAACAGGCTTTAGAATATATATTACATACTGGAGAGAGGACAACAGGTTGTAGAATATATATTACATACATGAGAGAGGACAACAGGTTGTAGAATATATATTACATACAGGAGACAGGACAACAGGTTGTAGAATATATCACATACAGGAGAGAGGACAACAGGTTGTAGAATATATATTACATACAGGAGAGAGGACAACAGGTTGTAGAATATATATTACATACAGGAGAGAGGACAACAGGTTGTAGAATATATATATTACATACTGGAGACGGGGCAACAGGTTGTAGAATATATATATTACATACTGTAGACAGGACAACAGGTTGTAGAATATATATTACATACTGGAGACAGGACAACAGGTTGTAGAATATATATTACATACTGGAGACAGGACAACAGGTTGTAGAGTATATATTGCATACAGGAAAGAGGACAACAGGTTGTAGAGTAGAAGACAGGACAACAGGTTGTAGACTATATGTTTCATACAGGAGAGAGGACAACAGGTTGTAGAATATATATTACATACAGGAGACAGGACAACAGGTTGTAGAGTATATTTTACATACAGGAGAGAGGACAACAGGTTGTAGAATATATATTACATACAGGAGACAGGACAACAGGTTGTAGAATATATCACATACAGGAGAGAGGACAACAGGTTGTAGAATATATATTACATACAGGAGACAGGACAACAGGTTGTAGAATATATGTCACATACTGGAGACAGGACAACAGGTTGTAGAGTATATAATACATACAGGAGAGAGGACAACAGGTTGTAGAATATATATTACATACAGGAGAGAGGACAACAGGTTGTAGAATATATATTACATACAGGATAGAGGACAACAGGTTGTAGAATATTACATACAGGAGAGAGGACAACAGGTTGTAGAATATATCACATACAGGAGAGAGGACAACAGGTTGTAGAATATATCACATACAGGAGAGAGGACAACAGGCTTTAGAATATATATTACATACTGGAGAGAGGACAACAGGTTGTAGAATATACCACATACAGGAGACAGGACAACAGGTTGTAGAGTATATATTGCATACAGGAAAGAGGACAACAGGTTGTAGAGTATATATGACAACAGGTTGTTGAGTATATATCACATACAGGAGAGAGGACAACAGGTTGTAGAATATATCACATACAGGAGAGAGGACAACAGGTTGTTATATTTCACATACAAAGATTCATGCCTTCAGATTTCATGTGTTCTTTTCCAAACATACTTCTTTTCATTCCTTCAGACAATGTTAACTCCTCTGGACTTACAGTTAACTCCTTCAGACAATGTTAATGCCTCTAGACTCACAGTTAGCTCCTTCAGACAATATTAACGCCTCTAGACTTACAGTTAACTCATTCAGATAACTTTAACGCCTCTACATTCACAGTTAACTCCTTCAGACAGTGTAAACGCCTCTAGACACACAGTTAGCTCCTTCAGACAGTGTAAACGCCTCTAGACACACAGTTGCTACTTCTGACAATGTTATTGTCTCTAGACACACAGTTAGCTCCTTCAGATAACGTTAACGCCTCTAGACACACAGTTAGCTCCTTCAGATAACGTTAACGCCTCTGGACTCACAGTTAACTCCTTCAGACAATGTTAATGTCTCTAGACTCACAGTTAACTCCTTCAGACAATGTTAACGCCTCTAGACACACAGTTAGCTCCTTCAGACAATATTAACGCCTCTAGACTTACAGTTAACTCATTCAGATAACTTTAACGCCTCTACATTCACAGTTAACTCCTTCAGACAGTGTAAACGCCTCTAGACACACAGTTAGCTCCTTCAGACAGTGTAAACGCCTCTAGACACACAGTTGCTCCTTCTGACAATGTTATTGTCTCTAGACACACAGTTAGCTCCTTCAGATAACGTTAACGCCTCTAGACACACAGTTAGCTCCTTCAGATAACGTTAACGCCTCTGGACTCACAGTTAACTCCTTCAGACAATGTTAATGTCTCTAGACTCACAGTTAACTCCTTCAGACAATGTTAACGCCTCTAGACACACAGTTATTCCTTCAGACAATGTTAACGCCTCTAGACTTACAGTTAACTCCTTCAGACACCTGCAGAATAGTTTTTACTCATGCAGACATACTGCTCACTACTCCTGACATACTGCTCACTACTCCTGACATACTGTTCACTACTACTGACATACTGTCCTTCAGTCACACTGCTCACTCCTCCAGATAAACTGTTCACTAATACAGACAATGTTCACTTCGCCAAACTCACTGTTCACTCCTCTAGGTTCACAGTTTACTACTCCAGACTCATTATTCACTGATCAAGATTTACTTTTCACTCTTACAAACTCAGTGTTCGTGTATCCAGACTCATTGTACTCTCCTCCAGACTCACTATTTAGGTCCCACGACTCATTATTTACGCCCCTAGTCTTACTTTTCACGTTTCTAGAAACAAAGTTAACGTTTCCAAACTCGTTCGTTACTCGTACACGGTCACTATTCACGCATCAAGACTCATTTTTGCATGTCCCCACATGACTAGGATGTTTGGTCCCATTCATTGTTATATTAAATGATCGGAGACATGTAAACCAACCATCTTGTATTATCGACTGCGATCGAAAAAAGAAGAATAGAGTCACGGTAGTGGTATTATGATGTAATTAATATGCTGTAGAGATATTGTGTATAGCAAGTTCTATCGATATATTGCCAGCACTGCGTGTTAACAAGCATCAGATAATAACAGATATGTGTCCCCTGCAATATCCATTCTGATGGAGAATATCCAGTGTTTGTATTCGCTGACAGGTGTTCAGTGTAAGTTTGTATAGACGTTGTGTACATCCTGTGTAACTCCAATAAACATCTCGTATTGGACATCCAGATTGCCACGTCACTTGAACCGTACTATTTCTGGCGGAGAATAAATAATTTTAAGAATCCATACATTGGAACTGTTTGTCCTTGGTCTGTTATTATCGAACCGATCGACTGTAGTTTTTGTTAGTGTATTTTATATTCCGTCGTGTAGCAGGAATCCCGTAGGTGTTGTGATTGGTGTTGCGGCCTCTACTAACATTGAGATGAGGCGGGTTCTCGTCATCGAGAAGCGTTGATCGGGGCATGCTTTTTTATTGACTTTATATGTAAATACAAATACACTGGGCGGTCTTACACAAAACCAGTCCACATTATCATGGAAGAAGCCAACTTGTCAGTGTAACTGGGATTCACGGATGTGCTCCCTTCGGGGAACACATAATTTTACATGCAGTGTGAACAAGAGTGTCTTGTTGTGTAACAATGTCCAGTATGAGACGTTCTATGGATAAGATATGCATACATCGAACTCGGAGGTATGAAGTGAAAAGTTCGAGCTTTGACGAGAATATAACAAAATGTGTGATTCCCTGGACACAGAGGTAAGTTTTATTTAAAAAAAAGGACTACATTTATTATGTTTTCGATCACTATATTGTGGGTCCTACTTAGGGTTCAGTGCGAGGCGTCAGTTGGGGTTGTATTCTGAAGTCTTGGGTAACAGGTGCGATGATCTGACGATGGGAAGATACAGAAGAAGATCTACGTTATACCAATAATACATAATAAGTAAAACGAACATAGATAGCGCGTTGTATGTCTTACCTGATTAAGAGGCTAATATACCATTGGGATGTTGGTATCAATACGTAGTGGTAGAGGCTTAACTGAGAAAGGACTGGCAGTGTAATGTTGAGAACATGTAAATGAGATTTCAATCTGGCTAATATGAAGTCGTAATTTACTAAGATACCCAGAACATTGAGGTAATTACATGATTAACAGGGATAAGTTCCCATCCGATTGTGGAGATGGTCAGATTTTATCTAATATGGTTATATGTGAAAAATCAATCCCTGTGTAATTACATATCCCCCAAATAATGTATGAATCTAGATAGAATTTTGAGACAAGGTTAGTCTAAGGCACTAATGAATAGAGTTATGCCAAGTTTCCTGCAGTGACAGCATTTTAACAGGGGAGATTACTCTGGATCAAGGTTTATAGCTGAGGAGTGAGTCTTAGTCACATACAAACATACAAACTGATTACAAAGAAAAAAATAAAATCTTCAGAAACCGCATATGATATAGATATTTACAAATAGATGTTTTTATCTTTGATTGGACTGAGAATGTGAAATACGTTTTTGGGAAAATTCAATTTCTTGTTTATGAATGAATACACATCACGCAGAAATCTTATTTACGCTAACTTGGAGATTGCAACGTAACAATAGAGTTTCTAAATGAGATCGTCTACATCATTATTTATTCATGTAAAACTATACAAAGTATAGAGAGATAGACGTGAATAGAGACGGTTGTATCGGTATATGTGGCAACATAGATCAATGTCATCTACCAGCACAGTGGGTCGACATTGCCTGCATGTGACTATATAGATATACGTATGTAAATGTATAGTCACTGATATGAGTATACAGGTGTACACATAGTGGACTCTGTCTAAACCGGACTCTGTGCAATCCAGATATCTGCCTAATCCAGTCAAATAATCAAGTCCCAGTTCCAACAATATTATAACAATGTACTCTCTACAATCCGGAACTCCCTACAAAACGGCCAAATTATTCGGTCCGAAAGGTGTTCGGTTTAGACAGATTCCACTATATAAGTATACAGATTTAGGTATATAGTGCATGTATGTCAGTATGAAATACATAAACATACAGACATTTTTAAAATGCCGGTATAAATCAGAATATCAGTAGAATGTTTGCTATGATACAATTCCGAACCACAACACTTTAGCCGCCAAAGCCGTCCTGTTTTGTGACGTTCACGTTCTACTCGTCGCCCCCACACTCCGCCTCCCGTCACCGTGGTGTGACTACTTTGTTTCATTTTCGTAAGGTGACGTCGCAACAACATGAGTGCAGCGGGAGGACGCCGCGGTTACAACTGGTAGGCTTTCAACCAGTTCGAACTGTTTAGGCATAGACCGGACACCCAAACAATTTCTCTGTTTACGAATCGATTGCACAAGTGCATTAATCATTTGAGATGGCAAAATCCCACGCGGCAGCTTTGCGGGTTGTCGTTTCGAGGACGATCGGATGTTGACCCAGTTTGACAAAAATAATGTGCCACTCGACGCGAAGACTCTCCAGTCCGGATCATGTCTACAGCTCTTTTCTTATGCCATGTGACAGCGGAAACATAATATGTAACAATATAAAAGGATTAGGTGTCACCTTGATATTTTATGAAATTCGAGAGAAGGTAAAAGGACGTCTCGCTTGAATGATTCTTGGTAACCCCATTGGATTCTATTATGAACACTATTTTAATTTTCGGTGTATTGGGTATACACGGGACTTTCCACTTGCATTTTGAATTCTATAAATAATAGACTGGTTGAGAAACAATATTTGCCGTGTGCTGCATTTCATGGCTAAGATATTGTAAAGGGTGACGATACGATATTAAACTAAATACTTCACATACAGTCGAGCAATGTAAACACTGTATGCATTTGAGTACTTTCGTATCACTTGGGTAATTTCACCATTCAGTGAAACGAATCTCAACGCCACACTTCTAAATTCTTTAGTGATCTATTAAAATACAGCTTGAGTCCATATGAAAGTATCGGGGGGTTCTATTGTTTAAAAGTAACTTGTATATTTTATCAAGGATTGTAAGGACGTCTTTGAAAAATTCTTCCTACGAGAAAATGGCAGTAACGGGCAGTAGAAAGTACGACACAGACAGTGCAGAATAGACAGTTAATGGCAAACAGTGGTGTGTAGACAGTTAATGGTAGACAGTGCTGAATAGACAGTTAATGGCAGACAGTGGTGTGTAGACAGTTAATGGTAGACAGTGGTGTGTAGAAAGTTAATGGTACAGAGTGGTGAGTAGACAGTTGATGGTAGACAGTGGTGTGTAGACAGTTAATGGTAGACAGTGGTGAGTAGACCGCAACTGGTAGACAGTGGTGTGTAGACAGTGGTGTGTAGACAGTGGTGTGTAGACAGTGGTGTGTAGACAGTGGTGTGTAGACAGTTAATGGTAGACATTCGTGAGTAGACAGTGGTGTGTAGACAGTTAATGGTAGACAGTGGTGTGTAGACAGTTAATAAAAGACAGTGGTGAGTAGACAGTTAATGGTAGACAGTGGTGTGTAGACAGGTAATGGTAGACACAGGTGTGTAGACAGTGGAGTGTAGACAGTTAATGGGTGTGTAGACAGACAGTTAATAAAAGACAGTGGTGAGTAGACAGTTAATGGTAGACAGTGGTGAGTGCTATTAATGTAGACATGTGTTAACAGTTAATGGTAGACAGTGGTGTGTGTGTAGACAGTGGTGTGTAGACAGTTAATGGTAGACAGCGGTGTGTAGGTAATGGTAGAAAGTGGTGAATAGACAGTTAATGGTAGACAATGATGAGTAAACGGTTAATGGTAGACATTGACAGTTAATGTAGACAGTGTGAGTAAACAGTTAATGGTACACGGTGTGTAGACAGTTAATGGTAGACAGTGGTAAACAGTTAATGGTAGACAGCTAGTTAATGGTGACAGTAGACAGTTAATGGTAAGTTAATATTAGACAGTGGTGAGTAAACAGTTAATGGTACACGGTGGTGAGTAAACAGTTAATGGTAGACAGTGGTGAGTAGACAGTTAATGGTAGACAGTGGTGAGTAGACAGTTAATGGTAGACAGTGGTGAGTAGGCTATTAATGGTAGACAGTGATGTGTAAACAATTAATGGTAGACAGTGGTGTGTAGACATTTAATGGTAGACAGTGGTGAGTAGACAGTTAATGGTAGACAGCTAATGGTAAACAGTTGTGAGTAAAGAGTTAATGGTAGACAGTGATGAGTAAACAGTTAATGGTAGACATTGGTGTGTAGACAGTTAATGGTAGACAGCGGTGTGTAGACAGTTAATGGTAGACAGCGGTGTGTAGACAGTTAATGGTAGACTGTGGTGAGCAGACAGTTAATGGTAGACACTGGTGAGTAGACAGTTAATGGTAGACAGTGATGAGTTGGCTATTAATGGTAGACAGTGGTGAGTAGACAGTTAATGGTAGATAGCGGTGTGTAGACAGTTAATGGTAGACAGTGGTGAGTAAACAGATAATGGTAGACAGCGGTGTGTAGACAATGAGTGGTAGAAAGTGGTGTATAGACAGTTAATGGTAGACAATGATGAGTAGACAGTTAATTGTAGACAGTGATAAGTTGGCTATTAATGGTAGACAGTGGTGAGTAGACAGTTAATGGTTGACAGTGATGAGTAGGCTATTAATGGTAGACAGTGATGTGTAAACAGTTAATGGTAGAGAGTGGTGTGTAGACATTTAATGGTAGACAGTGGTGTGTGGACAGTTAATTGTAGACAGTGATGAGTAAACTATTAATGGTAGACAGTGATGTGTAAACAGTTAATGGTAGACAGCGGTGAGTAGACAGTTAATTGTAGACAGTGATGAGTAGACAGTTACTGGTAGACAGTGGTGTGTGGACAGTTAATGGTAGACAGTGGTGAGTAGACAGTTAACGGTAGACACAGGTGTGTAGACAGTGGTGTGTAGACAGTTAAAGGTAGACAGTGGTGTGTGGACAGTTAATGGTAGGTAATGGTGGGTGGCAGTTAATGGTAGACAATGATCAGTAAACGGTTAATGGTAGACATTGTTGAGTGGCAGTTAATACAAGACAGCGGTGAGTAAACAGTTAAATGGTAGACAGTGGTGAGTAGGCTATTAATGGTAGACAGTGATGTGTAAACAGTTAACGGTAGAAACTGGTGTGTAGATATTTAATGGTAGACATTGTTGAGTGGCAGTTAATATGAGACAGTGGTGAGTAAACAGTTAATGGTAGACAGTGGTGAGTAAACAGTTAATGGTAGACAGTGGTGAGCAGACAGTTAATGGTAGACAGCGGTGAGTAGACAGTTAATGGTAGACAGCGGTGTGTAGACAGTTAATGGTAGACAGCGGTGTGTAGACAGTTAATGGTAGACTGTGGTGAGCAGACAGTTAATGGTAGACAGTGGTGAGTAGGCTATTAATGGTAGACAGTGATATGTAAACAGTTAATGGTAGACAGTGGTGTGTAGACATTTAATGGTACACAGTGGTGTGTAAACAGCTAATGGTAGACAGCGGTGTGTAGACAATGAGTGGTAGAAAGTGGTGAATAGACAGTTAATGGTAGACAATGATGAGTGGCAGTTAATATTTGACAGTGGTGAGTAAACAGTTAATGGTAGACAGTGGTGTGTTCACAGTTAATGGAAGACAGCGGTGTGTAGACAGTTAATGGTAGATAGTGGTGAGTAGACAGTGGTGTGTAGACAGTGGTGTGGAGACAGTGAATGGTAGACAGTGGTGAGTAG